AAACTCGTATCGTGTGAGTTTGGAAATAAAAGTTTCATATTCTGAAAGCCAAGACTTTGTTTGTTTAAAATCAAACAAAACACCCGAACCCCGAAAAAATAGTTTTTTATGCAAATCCACGTTTATTTTGAAATGAGCCGTTGCGACTTCCGACTGATTTCGATAGAGCGGGTCACATATATAAAATGTTTTAGATCTTTGAGTTCATCTCATGAAAAATGGGAGCAAAAACAAAAGTGTTGCATTTATATTTTTGTTCAGTGTACATCAGTGGCTTCTTTAAATCTAGGCTCAAAACATACTTTTATCCCACTGCTTGCCCTCCTGATTTTCACCTGATTCTTTGTATTCTTTCTTATGGGTTTTACTGTCTTAGGGGCCGTACACATGAGCGTATTTTGCAGTCGTGCTCAAACATGAGAGCAACACCGCCTCTGTGCACCAGTGCTCTTTTTTCCAATGCACGAGCATGCGCAACCATGGCGCTACCAGGATTGAAAATAGTTCAACTTTTTTCATGTGATGAAGAACATCCAATCGCAGCAAGATATGTCTGTATTACTGTAAATACAACTGTACGGCAAATATGGAGAAGATAATTTAATTAATTTAAGTGCAGGTTTATCGTAACCCTGACTTTAAGATCTGTCCATTGTGTCACCCATATTCATTTTATGAGCACCGCTGCTAAAATATCACAAGACCATTAATATCAACGGCTCTGGTGCTGGTGTCCGGCACACAAACGCAACACACACAGAGCGTAGCGTAGCAGAGAAGAGACAGAAACAGCGTTTTTTAGGGTAACACTACCGTCCCATGGACAATATTTTAATATAACTTTAAAAAACAACACCTTGAAAAAGTTCAGCACAAGAGTAGACATCCAGAGCCCGGCCGACGTGGTAAAAAAAACCTCATGTGTACAGCCCCCTTATTTGTATGTTGCTCCTTTAGTTCTTGGCTTTGTTTTGTGTTTTCATGTAAAGCACTTTGTAACTGTATTTTTAAAATCATAAACTAATGAATAAACATGTATAACTTCTAGGAGATCACCTTATTCCAGAAAACACAATATTTCACAGCAGAAAAAGTGGTTAAAGATCATTTTAAGAGAGAGACAACATTACTATTTACATTTAAACACCGTTATTGTAAATTCTAAAGCTAGTTTGACTCCATACATACGAGGCTCTGATGTTTGTCCCTTTTGATTCAGGTGACGAGTCAGGACAAGACTCCATCCGTCATCAGGAAGGAATTAGTATGTTGATCTTTTAGTACTTTTATTTTGTTATTGCTGTTTTTTGTTTTAATGTGAAGCACTTTGTTGGATAAGTGCGACTGTTTGAAGGTATTATTGTTATTAATATCATTCTTATGAAGTGGAATTAGCAAACTAGCTAACTCGCCTGCAGCTAAATTAGCATCAAATTAGTGATTCATCCGAACATTTGTCACACTATAAGAAAGCATAGATAATCATTCAAACACCATCGCAGCTGTGGCTCAGGAGATAGAGGATGGAGGTTCAATCCCCAGCTCCTGCAGTCAACATGCAGTCAACGTGTCCTTGGGCAAGATATTTAATCCCAAATGTGGGATTGCCAGCCTTGAGTGAATGTGTGGGAATGTTAGTCTCCCTAAACATTTGAATCAGAAACCTTTTTAATGTGTCCCACAGCGGGGACATTTACAATGTTAGAGCAAAGGGGACATTGCAGAAAAGACTAACTATTAGAGGTAATCACACATTGATCAAATTACTACACATTCACAGTATGAAAGATAAGTAGCGCATTATAAAAATAGGTGAACATTTAAAAAGTAATAAAGTAGCAGCCAGTGATAACAGTAGTAAGACATTTACTGTATAATCCACAATAAATGCCGACTTGTAAAAGCTCTTTGAAGAGTCGCGAAGACAGGAAAATCTGTATGTAAATGTACCATTTAGCCAATCACAGTGCTGTGTCAGGCTTTCATATTATGGAAGATGGAGTGGTTTTATCTTTTGTGGGTTGGAAAAGTGATAGAGTGGTTAAAACTGGTAAACCCACATCTGAGGCTGAGCAGCACTCTTAGAGACAAGTGAGCAAATCTTGATATGTAAAATTGATGGAGTAGTAGTTTAATGAAGAGGAATAGAGTGGTGCAGTCATGGATGTATAAAGAGACTGGATCCAGCGTTGGAGGCGTGACCCCTTTCATTCCTATGAAAATTGCTCAGTGGCCCACGAAGTCAAAATGACCTGACTCTCAAGAGCAAAAGTACCCGTATCTGGGTCCATAGAGCACCTGCATTTTGCTTAAACCCTCCTCCAAACGAAAAGCCCTCATGGCCAATCTTGGCTCGGTCAGATAAACGGAGTGGAACAATTACTCTGGATTTCGGCTTTTAACTCACCTTAATAATTTAAATATGGGCTATACATTTTTTCGTGCTGCGTTGTTTATTGACTTAAAAAAAATATCCTCTGATTAGCAGCAACTCATTCCCAATGTTAGTCAATGGGAAAAAGTATTTTTGGGCTAAAACGACATCACAAACTGACATGGAAGTTGTATTACAAATGTTTGGCCACCAGGAAAATGCCAGCATCCGGCACACTTCCCGGAGGCCTGGGTGCAATACATATATCCCAAAACATGGAAATGACTTTTGACATTTCACCACTTCTGGTTCCTTTTCCTCGTAGTCAACTTTCCTCCGAACATGTTTTGGTTAGAAGCCAGAAATCAAATCTATGTTTATCACAAGTTGAAGAGATTTTAAAGTTTTATTATACTTCTATGTGTCATAAAAACAGGAGTTGACTAAAAGAGACAAATAAACGTAGTCTCGCTGAGCATTAGCCGCCTTTAGCTTAGCGGTGGTGATGCACAGCCATGCAACCGTGCTGTCGTTTGTTTATAGCCTAATGTTAGCTTTTTACTTCTGCTGATTTCATTTACGCTTCAAAAATCATAAAGTGTTCTTAATATGTAGAGATTATGCTGTTGAACAAAAAGTTTTAAGTATCATAAATCTGTGTTTGCCACAGAGTTTATTTTGATCAATATTCAGAAATCCAATGTAAAAATCCCATTACTTTTGGCGGTGCCCTTGTGAAGCTAACTTGCTGGTCGGCATACACAAATCCCTCCTCACTGCACCACTCTATGCATGATTAGAACAGCGTCAGCCTCCTGTGTGTCCAGCGATGTTCTGCCCTCACCCCTCCTCTGCTCTCCTCTCAGTTCTGGGAGTGCACATCCCTCTCTTCCCTGGACACCTCTGGGAACAGCTCCGGCTCGGCCTCGGGCTCCAGCAGCGCCTCCTCCTCCTCCGTCTCCTCCTCCACCCCGCTGTCCGCCTCCCGCTCACACAAACGCTCGGTGTCGGCAGTGTCCAACTACTCCACCCTATCGCTGCCGCTGTACAACCAGCAGGTGGACGACTGCTGCATCATCCGGGTCAGCCTGGACGTGGAGAACGGCAACATGTACAAGAGCATCCTGGTGAGGAAACGTTCAAAGTGTTCTTGTTGTAGAAAGCACCTCAATATGCGTAACATCACGATCTCTGTTATCTGCCTTGCTTAATATAGTGTTAGTTCCAGAGTATTCATGTTAAAACAACTATAATACATACAGGATAATATGTGCTTAGCAAAACTCAGATGCTTTTATAACCTTTTGATACCTCTTTATTCATTCCTTTTTAATAGTAGCATATATTCCTAAAATCCTGTTTACGTTATAGTCTACTCATTTTGAAATGACTATACCACAAATGTATTCAATGTTTTATTTATGTTATATTTATTCCCTGTATTTA